GAGTCAAAACTTTTTTATGACACATAACAACCTTAACCAATGCAATTAAAGGCCAACCAAATAAATAAGCCGCCGGCAGATATTAAAAAAAAAAAAAACCAGAAGAAATGAAAACAGTCAACAAAATCAAATCATTTTTTCTGTTTCTCCCTCCAAAACATAAGAATATATGTAAAAATAAATAAATACCTTGAAGATTAGACATGTTGCTAATCTGAGGAGGAATCTCTCCAGACAAGTTATTGACATTGAGATACAAATCGCTGAGTTGACTCAGGGCAGCAATCTCCTTAGGTATCTCTCCGGTCAGGGCGTTGAAATGCAGGTACAAACTGGTCAAGCTCTTGAGTCCACCCAGAGCCGCCGGTAACTGGCCGGATAGACCCTTCCCTTGGAGCGAAATATTAGCCACGTGGCCTTCTTGATTGCATGCCACCCCATCAAATGAGCGGCTGCTACAAGGGTCGGAGAAGGGTGTCCAGGAGGCCAAGAAGCGGTTCTGTGGGTCCAATGAGGCCTTGATTTGGAGGAGAACCTCACGTTCAGTTGGTGAAGAAAGAGAGAATGAGAGGAGAGAGAGGAGGACGAGGAAGATGGACATGATTGGTTGGGAGGAAAGAGAAGGAAAATCGGTTGGAGTTTGAGATTCGAATCTGTTCGAGTTCAAAGTAAGTGGCTTGAGTTCGAGTTGGTGGAGGTAGTGCAAGAAAAATGGAGATTAAAAAAAAAAAGAAACCCATACTAAAACAAGTAACGCACCACGCAGCGAGACAAGTACAAAAAAGTTGTTTCTTTTTCGCTTTCTTTTACTCCATCTTTTTACTTTTCTTTAGGGGAGCTTTGGGAGACTATGGACTTGGGCACCGGTTTTGGTAGGTAAGGATTTGAAAAGGATGGACCCACATTGGTAAACACTTGCCAGTTCGATTCAGTGAATTTTTTATTCATCTTTATTTTTTCCCAAAGAAAAAGAAATGATAATAATTTTGAAAATGAGTGACTGTGGGCCTGTCCTGCTGTAGGTGTGGCCTCCATATGACATAAATACTAAGCTCTCATATCACATAAATGCTTATAGCCCTGCTTTGTAAATTTCTTAAATACACATTAATAAACATATTGAAGTAAAAGTTTAAAACATTCTTTTATGTTTTTGTTTAGTTAGCTTGTTGAAAACATTCACGTAGCTTGACGAGTAGAGCCAAGCTGGACATTTGTAAATCTTCAGGTCAGGACCACATTCAAATGCATTGTAGTCCATAATTTAGAAATAAGTGATTTAGGGTTATGTGCTCAAAATTTATATTAAAAAATAATAATAATAATTTTTCTTGAGGACGTTGAGAATGAATGGATCATTGGAGTATCCAATAGGTCATAATAAAAGACTGATTTTTACGGGTACAGCATAAGGAGCAAGTAAAAATAAGAGTGATTAGTAATATTAGCTTGGATAGCATTGTTAGCGGTAAATGTAAATAGAAGAAGAATTTTTTATTGGATATTTTTAAAATTTTTTGATTTTTTTAAAGGTTAAAAAATTTAAAATATAAAATATCCTGATTTTTTTAAATATTTTTACTTTGATAAAATTAATAAATTTATAGATAATATTTTATATATATCATATATAAAAATTTTAAATTCATTAACAGAGATGAAAGAGTAGGGAACCTTTTTCTTGTTAAAAAGAATTTTATAAGTTCGGTGATAGTCATTTTCAAGAGAACAGGAAAGGAATTGATAACTGGTAGCTGTTAACAGAGATGAAAGAGTAGGAAACTTTTTTCACGGTGAGAAGGATTTGATAGGTTAGGAGAACATCATTTTCAAGAGAACATAAACATAATCCCTCTTCCCTTGAAAATTGTTCTCGTAAAAATTATCATCATAGTGCTTTCTTTACCCAACTTTAGTTGAAAAAGGGAATGAAATGAACTGGGATTCTGGGAAAGTTGAAAGCAGGCTGCCCATACCAGGACAGCTGGATGACCAGATTGAATTCCCTGCAAATATGTACTTACTCCAATGCCAAAGTTCGAAGTATGGTTTTTTTTTAATAATAAATTCAAAGTATGGCTCAATTCACTGCATAAACCCTATCACTGAATCAATTCCTTCGGTTCTGTCCATGACAGGGTACATAAACACCATGACATCCCTTCCTTTTGATCATTTCCCTTTTTCAAATTTATTTTTTTAGCAACGTAAATGGGAGATTGATGTTGATTTAGTTGGACGACAATGATAATGGACCATCATTGTTAAGGTTTCATGTGAACATCGAGCTTTAATATTTCGTTGTACCTTACCACTTTAAGACCAAGTCTCCTTCATCAAAGCATGGGAAACAGTGAAACCCCATTAATTGGACGCTGGTGAGAAAATCAAATTGGACGGATTTTGTGGGGGCTCTCCATTGCTCCACATTGTCGGTAGTCTGGGGTTGGGGTGACCATGCCCTCTTGCCCACCTCACTGTCAAGCAGACCAACATTTTTCTTTTTTTCTTTTTTTTCAAATTCCTCATTTCGTACTGGAATTTAAAATTAGCATTATTCGATTGAAATTCAAAAAATATTTTTGGCCGTATTCAATTCCATTTTTTTCCTTCATTTGGGTTTTAATTGTGTTTTACGGCACTTATGCTGCCATAATTACAACTTCTGAAAAAAAAAATGATGACATGGGATTTGTCAATCAGGATTGAATTTGTGACTTGGATGGTCAGATGTGTCGAAAATCATAGCCTTTCATTTTCTTTCTGCGTTTTCAATTCTCATCATTTAAAACCGACGCATAAAATTATGGGGCATCCAATCTACGTAACGTCGTAGCCTTTTGTCTGAAGAAACTCAGCAACAGTCTCATTCCTTGCGGGACGGCCTCATTTGGTCCTCAGGAAAAGCGGTCCTTGCTCCTGATTACTCCAAATTTTCAGCTTTTCAGCTCATCAAATTTTGAACTAACGTGGGGATAACGAGGGAAATAAAAATGGCACAACTGCATATGAAAATTGAAAACTAATGAAGGGCACAGGAGTTCTGATTCTCTTTGGACAAACAATGGCAACAAAACACACGAAGAAGACAAGTGGAACTATCAAAAAACTTGTAATTTTCGAACAATGCAACAACGACCTAGGTTGAAACAAATAATTATAAGACAAGACAGGTCTCGCTTTTATCGTCTATCTTTTAATTGCGCATCCAACACTCTCCTCTTTTGATGCCTTGGCTTCAAAGCCTCACTGTTTAAAGCATGAATCAATAGAGGAATTGGAAGTCAAGTCTCTCTTAACTTTTTCAACCCACGTTAACCATCCTTTGTCTACTTAAACCAAGATCTTTTTAGGGTCACACAGACCTAGAGATTTCTCTTTTTCTCTCCATTATTATACTTGAGTCTATTCTAATTGGCAGGCAAGAAAAAAGATGTTTCCAAATTCCATTGTTTCATGGCAGCAATATAAAGGAAAAAATATCATAAGTTCATACCAGTAAACATTGTAACTCGTAAAGGTCTCTTAGAAATAGAGTAGGCTGGAAATCCATTTTGTCAATGAAACCTTTTGGGCTACATAAGACAATAATTATTGGGTTCTGGCTCAATTTACTCTCACACTTGGTTCATTTTCATCCCTAAACAATCCTATGATTATTCCGGTGAATTCTATTATTACAGCTGCTTCTTACTTGTATTTTACTGGATTTGCAGTAAGTGTATTTCTGCATCTGCTTTGCCCTACAAGCGGACTCCACCTAGTTGGTTGGAGATCTCTTCTCAAGATCTGAGTCACTTTAAAAATGTGTATGCGCAGTGAAGTTACACTTTTGAGTCCCTTATGTGAATTGAACCCGATGCTTGAATAATAGAACGATGAATAGTTGTTATCCTCATTGACTGCAATACAATGGCAATGCTCTGCTTGAAATCTATCGTCAGCGTGTAGTGTTGTATACATTTTAAACAAATCGCTTCATGAAATTAAGTTTTCCATGATTTAGTAGTAAAAAAAGAAGATAGCTTGAGAGAAAAATGAAGGCCTCGCTCGCTTCAATTGACATTCTCCTCGATATGCAGGACTAAACTTTTTGTGCTTTTAAAGAACTACTTGTGGTTTGGAATTGGTATCAGAAGAGGTGGGTTTTTATCTCCTTGCCTAAATGACACAAGAGAATCGGAAATTGTGTACTAATCAGGAATTTACGAGATTCTTACTTCTTGCTTCTTCTAGAAATTTTTTTAATCAAGTATGTTATTAATAAAATGTTGATTTTTTATGTATTAAACAAATTATTTCAATAAATAATTTTTTTTATACAAGGAAATTCTTTGAAAATAGAAAAATAGCTTACATGTATTATAATTTGAACTTTAAAAATACCAAATATTGTTTTAAAAATGATTATATAAATAAATTGAATTAAACTCTAATTTTATTTCAACAAATAATTTTAAGCGTACCATAATTCATAAATTGAATTTAACTCACAAAAAAAATTTGTTTTCCTAAAATCCTTTATCGGTCTACTAAGTGGTAACCGATCTCTTATTATGTATTCGGCCCAAAATTTTCCAATAAAATCTTTCCCGTGACGGTGTTGGTCCTGAACGTGACGGGAAAGATCTCAATATTCTTTCAGGACTTCACGGTTCAGGTTCGCCGAAACCAAATGCCGGTGTTGGTTCACCGATTTTACGTTTTTTCATTTTCATTTTTTCCCATTTTTGATGTGAATGAATTGGGTCTGAACTCATAAAGCTGAGATAACTGCTGGATATCAGCTTGGGAGCTGTGGTACTATTTGTCTATTATAGCCCAACATGTCCGCAGCCCAAACAAAAAGTTCCGAGATCCACATCTGAACAGAACGTTTTGGGCTAATGGAATAATGGAATAATAAATTTGACCCGGTTCCTGAAAATCTCATCGGTTGGTAAAGATATGGTCGATTTTAGCTATGCTATAATGCGGCCAAGTGAACATGTTTCAACAAAATGAAGTAATGTATCTGATCAAATTGAAATGATAATAACACAGATTTAAAACAGAGTACAAAAATGATCATTCGTAATCCAATTAACATTCAAAAAGGTACAGGTCGTCTATCTGGCCATGATTCTATCTTCTCAAAGTACTTGATAGGTACAACCCCATCAAAACCTTCAGTCAATATCACCTTGTTGTCTGAAATGTATAGTTTCATTCCCTCTGCAATCATTATTGATAGAACAAGAGAAGGAAACATAAACTTATTAGCCGAGAAAAAAAAAAAAAAAAGAGATTAATGGTTGGCAGTGATTTGAAAGAAGAGTGAGAAAGACATCGTTTGTTGGCTGCCTGAAACTTGAAAGAAGTATGCATGCTTACCTTCCAGAGCTTTTTTGACATTAAGAAAGATCAAAATGTTAACATCTCGTCTCATACCTGAAGAGTAGTAAAGCACAGATTATCAGTAGCTATCCAACTTCACTAGGGCTCCATCTATGTCTATCACTACAACTACCAAACAGTGCTCGGCATTTGCTAAATCCAATTACAAAATTGGAACCTTAGTAATCCTTTAATAGTCTTTAGCATTAATCCTCGGGTGAAATGTAGATAATAGTCATAATATGACCCAACCAGTTTGTCAGGTATACCAAGCTGGGATATCAAAAACAAAGAGCAAAAAGAAAGGGCCACAAATTTAGCTGCTAAGACCATATGTCGAAGTCCAAGATAATCCCATCCGACCAGTTCAAGAAAAATAAAAAGGAAAAGGAAAAAATATGACACGTCATTACTATCATCTTGTAAAGAGATTTTTGCTGATATCTCACCACTAATTACTTCACCATCTGTTGGCAAGCCACTTGAGAAGTGTACATGCAATCTTTTCATGCGCTTCAAACCAGACTCCAGAATTGATTCCAAATTCCTCTTATAGGTTCCATGTACACATACTGTCATCTCAGGGAAAATAAAGACGATTAAGCAAAATAAAAGACGTAAAACAAGAGTATCAATCTGACAGACATAATATTGACATCATATTCTTAGTTTCTTACCTTGCACTTCATCAGCTGAAAGGATTTGTTTTAATAAGCTTTCGGACTCAACTGTCTGCCAATAGCACATAACAGACCTTTTAGACAGAGCAGCCAAACGGTAATTTATATGCTAAAACCAACAGCGAAGCATAAAATAAAAGGAAAAAGATTCTGGAAAAGCACAAAGGAATTGGTTTTTTAAAGAAGGATTCATCACCGTTACTGTGTGGCCTTGGTTTGCACGTATCAAAAGCATCCCATTTTCCTCCAGTAGGCTAAATCGTTGCTTATTATCCTTTCTGACAGCCTAGAATCAGGAAATAATCAATCACAAAAAAGAATTATTAGTAGCATATCAATTTAGAAAGAAACCTCATGATCATGAAGCAAGACCATGAACTTTTTTCCTTTTAATTCCAGTAACATATTTCGGAGACTAAGAATGTAAATTACTACCGGTGACATCTCAAAGGTTTCTTTATAAAAAGAAAAGTACCCAAAGAAGCCATTTTCACAACAAAAATTTCATACTGCAATGATAGAAATGGGAAATTTTCAATCAAACTCTAGCATCAGCTTTTTTCACAATGTATTGAGACTTGAAAATAAGAAAAAAAAAAAAAAGAATAGACTCTCAACAGTAAACGGAGAGAAGAATTAGTCCACAGAAACAACCTCCTTGATATCATCAACTGTGTGTGACCTTAAAGGAATATTGGCAAATGTTTTCAAATTCAGCTTCAGTAAATCTTCAACTTTGACATAACCATCACTTCTCATATTCAAATTCAGTTCAGTTGCCATATGTCGCAGAATTCGTGTCCTAAAGATAATAAAACAAAACAAAATACTAATCAATAAAATCACTTTGGTCGAATGTACCCATGGTCGTAAGCAAAAGAAATGGATAAAAAAATTTGACAAAATGCTAATCTGAAATTTCGCTTACAAGAGTCTACCAAGAGCATCAATTTTGTCCTTGCCGCCGCTACCGCCACCACGGCCTCTGGATCTTTCTCGATCATATTTCATCTCTCGGCCTCTTCCTCTGCCTCCACTGCCAAACCACCCCCCCCCCCCCAAAAAAAAAAGAGCAAAATTGTTACGACACGGTTAAATCGATTTTGGCTACGAATTGCGCCCAAATGTTTAAAATACCTTGTATTCGAATGGGTAAAACATGAGAAAGACGACGACGTCGTGTTATTAAGGTTTGTGTTCTCCATTAAAATTAGGGCACGAAACCTGGAAAGCTGAGAGCGTACAGTTGGATGACGAACAACGCAATAGCGTAAAATTCGAATACTGCCGTTGCTCAGGAGAGCCCACATATGGGCGGGATTGATGCTATGGGAACTCTACTTTACAGAAGACGATGACGATGGCGTAAGGTAATAATGATACGATGACAGTGTGGGCTTTTACGTTGTTTTATACGAACAATACGATAGGTCCAACCTATCGTCTGTAGAAATTGGTTTCATTTGGGCCAAGCTGGGCTATAAAAATCTCTTGATCAAAGGGCTTTCAATCAGAGATCTGGGCTTCTAAAAGGAATCGACAAGGATTACCACGTCCCAAACTTCCAAATTGTGCACAAGAAAACGATCTAGTTAATCATTTGCCGAGATAACATGTTTTAACACATCAAAAACCAACATTTCAATCAACATACTTATCCCTTGCACCCAATATATATATATATGGAGTTGTGATCTCCAAACGTGCGCAGAATTATCTACAAGGTAATCTTTTCTTGGCCTTTCTTTCAGCAGAGAACTCTGTCAGCTCAATTTGACAAAAATTCTAAACCAACGAGAACCAAAGAAAATAAATCCAAGTAACAACCACTAAAATAGTACGATTCAACATCAAAATATTTTAAATGAAAAGGATCAATTCTTCGGATACACGTAAACCAAACTTAAACTAAAGACTTCGCCTCCTAAGTATCTCACTTTCAAACCATAAGTGAACAAGTTCTTTAAAACCATTAATAGATTGTAATACAAAAAGGTTTAGTCCTGCATATTAAGAAAATTTTCAATCAAGGCACAGGAAGTTGGTGTAAAAGGTGCCTTCTCTAAGCCACAAGAGTGCTGGCGGTGGTAGACTCACTGCATAAAGAAAAGTGAAGTATGTTAAGATTTGCGATTTACAACCAATCTCGAGACCAGATAGTAGAGGCCATAACCACCATAGACAACTATCATGAGGGTTGAGGACATTTTCTTAAAGAGCATGCCTCTGTCCATAAGATATACTATGCATGTCAAGAACATCAAAGGGGGCAGGGAAAGAATTACTCACTATTTCCACACAGGTGGCAGCTTCTTTGTCTTTTTGTAATAGCGAGCAAGTCGGTGGATCCTGCTCTCAACCAAGATCAACCTAAACTTGGAATCCTTGTCCTTCCGGTTCCTTTCAAGATGCTTTCTGATGGCAACGGCTTTCTTAATCAGGTGGTACAGATCCTCAGGAATTTCGGGAGCAAGACCTGACAAGAACAAAAGGATGAGTCGAATGTTCTGTTCAAACATGAAGGAAAATCCACCAGAAGACAATGTTAATAAAGATGTACCATGGGCTTTAAGTATCCTCAAAATCTTGCTGCCTGTAACACTCTTCACCTGAGCAATCCCATGGGAATCACGAAGAATAACACCAATTTGAGAGGGCGTCAAACCCTTCTTTGCAAACTTGCAAATGTTCTCCTCAACCTAAAACATGAAATCAAGATTAATGAATAATGCCAAAAAGAGTAAAAACTTCTTTTAAGGAGAGAGCAAACCAAAGAAGTGGTGAGTATTTCAATGCTGCATTGAGGGATGTAAACCAGAAACAATTGTCTCTAGAACATGCACGACAAAACATAAGAATTAGTTTGTGGAAGATTAAATTAACTCTTATTAATACACCATCATTCAGCACTCAAGTTTCTGGCTACACTTGTGAGATACATAAACCAGAATATCTTCCAGAAGAAGATAGTTAACCAAAGATTGAAACAACTTGAGATTTATGACAAAAAGAAAGACCGGTGGTCGGCCAAACTACCAACAAAAACGAATCAAAGACCATTAGGATTCCACATTTCAGAAAAGTGAAAAAAACAAATATTGAAACATAACTAAATGCACTATCAAACTTAAATATTAATCATTGTGTAGTTGATTCCACAGACTTCAATTTTCTCTATAGCTTGTTTTAACACTTAAACCATGACAAATTTAATTTCATGAAGCAATCAGCTTAAAACACTAAAGATTGAATTTATAGACTTTAACCAGAGCATTACCATTGTATTGTAATCAATGAGAATAACAACTATTTCCGGTACAAATTACTGAAAATTCAATTTATCAAACATCCGGTTCTTCTCTGCCACTATTCTAATAAAAAAGGTCTTGACTCTTGAAGATTCAATATATTTAATAATGGATAAAAGAGACTAACTCCACTAAAAATAATGAAACAAAATTTGGCTCATAAAAATTAAAAAAAAAAAAGTTGAATTTCATTTCTCAAAGTAGAAAACAATAAAAATATCATTCATTTTCTAACCAAAGCAAATAAATTAAGAGAATGATTAAAATAAGTGACTCACATCTTGAGAAGAGATCTTCAACCAACTAGGTGGAGTCCTCTTGTAGGGCAGAGCAGATGCGGAAATACCCTTACTGCACAGAAATTCGAATCAATCATGAAGAAGCTACAATCACTGAGATAATCGTAGGATTGTTTTGAGAGGATAAAGAATCAAGCGAGAGAGAAAACACAAACCCTCGGCTGTGCATACGACCCATGGCGGCAGAGTTTCGCGCTTGGCTGCTTTGGCTGCTTCTCACTCGACCTCTGCTTCTGGCTTGCTAGTTCTGAGCAAAGAAACCCTAGAATAGAAATGGAAGCTCGGGCTAGGGCTTCTTTGCTTTCGGTCTTTTGCTAGTGATTTATTGGGCCATGTTACCCGTTGGAGGTTTAATTTTTAAGAAGTGGATTTCCTAAATATCGGGCCACACACCATTAAGTTGTTGTCCTATGTGACCCAAAAGCCCAACGATAACTTTTATTGGAAAATTTTGGGCCGAATACATAATAAGAGATCGGTTACCACTTAGTAGACCGATAAAGGATTTTAGGAAAACAAATTTTTTTTGTGAGTTAAATTCAATTTATGAATTATGGTACGCTTAAAATTATTTGTTGAAATAAAATTAGAGTTTAATTCAATTTATTTATATAATCATTTTTAAAACAATATTTGGTATTTTTAAAGTTCAAATTATAATACATGTAAGCTATTTTTCTATTTTCAAAGAATTTCCTTGTATAAAAAAAATTAATTATTGAAATAATTTGTTTAATACATAAAAAAATCAACATTTTATTAATAACATACTTAATTAAAAAATTTTCTAGAAGAAGCAAGAAGTAAGAATCTCGTAAATTCCTGATTAGTACACAATTTCCGATTCTCTTGTGTCATTTAGGCAAGGAGATAAAAGTTCTTCTTTATCGCATCGTCAAGAAACCCATTGCTTTATTTCCTGCTTTTAATCCAGGTTTGGGATCTTCATCTTCTTCAACTGCATCTCGTTGTTAAAATTTTCATTTGTGTTTACTTTCTATACTTGTTGGCTGGCCTGGCATGGTTGTGAATTTTTTTTTGCTTCCATTTACTTGAACCTGATCTGAAATCCATGTGCTTTTAACTTCTGAGACTTCTAAAATCTACCTCTAATCGGAACATTTTATCATGATTTGTCTTAATATCGGATTCACGAATGTTTTTGTTAATGAAGTTGTAAATTTAGTAGGTTCCCATTTTAAAAAATCGTATTTCATATATATATATATATATATATATATTTTGGTTGCTGCATCCATTTTAGGCTATTTTTATGGCACCATTGAAAAAAAAATTCCCTACTCTTATGCAGCAGCGGAAAGATTGATTAGGCATGAAGGCATGTGTTGGATGGCGTCCCTTCCTCTTCTGTTTTCCACTTATTTTCATTCTTCCTCATTTGTTCTCTGGTGGTTGTTCCTCTTTGCTACCAATCTATTCACTTGTGGATTTTTGTAATGTCTTTTTTGTTTATTATTTGCAAACCTTAAAATGATCCCTTTTTTGCATGTTTTCAGTTCTGGAATTGCATCAGAACCAAACAGTTGGAGATGCCCCCAAGAAAAATAGCAAGAAATTTGATCACCTGGTTCTTGGACCTGCTGCTGGAGAAGGCTTGCCCAATCGTTTGCAGTGTCAAGGTTCTTTCTAATTCCTTGTTGATAGGACATTAATTTGGTAAAAGGGCCCACAAACCTAGACTTGCATTCATTTTCAAAAATCCTAGATACTGGAATAACTGGTGGATGAATTTAGGAGTCTGTTAGGTCTAGACATCTGTGATACCACATAGGATGTTCTCATTGAATAAAAAAAGAAAAAAATCAAAGAAAATACTTGTATTGAGACCCCAGCTCCTAAACTTCTTGATGTGATATTCTATGCGTTTTTATGTTTTTGATATGTTGCAGGAGTTAAAGCTCTCAACAAGACCCAATTTTCAAACCCTTCTCATGTCTCTGGTGTTGGAGATGGTATTGCCTTTGTCACTGTTTTTACCATTTAATAACAACTCACTTGACACTCTTGTGAATAGATCATCAAATTTGGTTACTGTTGGGAATGCTTCATATAGTAAGTCAGAGAGATCAATGGCCATTTTGAATGTTTTCATTAACTTCATTCAGGTAACTCTCCGGTTAAAGATCATGCAATATTATGCATCTAGCTTTCAGATGGAAATGTCAACTACAAACATCTTTTAATTTGCTTGAAGTTTCAGAACTAAACTCTGTTATATATAAGTTCATATTTAATGTTTTTAACTTACTTTCTTATGTATTATGGAATTATTGTAATGTACAGGATTTGTTCTAATTTGTATCTTGCATTCATTAAACTAAAACCTACATTTGCTTTGGAGCTTTTATTTAATGGGAGTTCTGAATTAAAATCTTTCAGGTGAGAATGCCTCAGAGCAATATTATTATTCTGACTGATCCAGAATCAGATCTCTCAGTGCACCAAAACAGAGTTACTGTACATCCCATTCAGGGTGAATATTCCCGAGACAAATTGATGCTTCAAAGAATCAGGTCTTACATTGTAAGAGCATATCGCATCGTTATATAGGTAGAAAAGTTTTGCTGTTCATTTATAGTATGTTCCATTAACCATATATTTAGTTTTCTTTTTTGATTTTCTGAAGCCCGAAAAAGCTTCATAGCCTTTCTTGTATCTGCTTTATCTTTTAATGTTTCCCCTCTTTTTTTTCTTTTTAAATAAAGATGATTTCCCCCACTCCTAACCCGTCTTTTTTCTTTTTTGACTAACATTATTATACTCTTTCTCCTCCTTATTGGATGGGGAGAGCAATTTGTAAAACCTGTCTTCTTTTTTTTTTTAACCATAAAAGAAGTCATTGAAGCTATCAAGATAAACTAAAGTCATGACAATCATAGAAGTCCAAGACCATCTGATCATGATTAATTATGAAAAACGTTATCCTAATTTATCTGCAAAACTGCCATTTTTCTATGTAGACCTTTCTGGAAATCAGGCTTGAGAAGCTATCTCAGGAGCTGGGGCGTATAACTCATTTCATCTTTACAGACTCAGATATTGCTGTAATTGATGACCTAGGACAGATATTTGAAATGCACCAAAACTTTCATTTGGCCCTCACCTTCAGGAACAACAAAGAGCAGCCGCTGAATTCTGGATTTATTGCTGTGAGGGGTACACGTGATGGTATTTTAAGGTTGAGACCCTTCTTTTTATTCCACTTTCAGTCTTCTGGTTTTGTTGACTTCTATACCTAAGCCTTCATGGGCCAGCTGGGCTGAAGGTGGTGTGGGAGGTATTTAACTCAGAATTTCTCCTTCCAATGAAGGATATGATTTGTAGTGAGTTCAGAGTAAACAATATCTTTTCTTTCCTCATAATATTTTGACAACATACTATCAAAATTTTCACTGAAGAAGATGAATATATATGTACCTGCATGCAGGGCAAAAATTTTTCTACAAAAAGTATTGGAAGTCTATAGTTCCAGATACATGAATGCTTCCCGAATGCTTGGTGATCAGTTAGCTCTTGCCTGGGTTGTAAAATCCCATCCCTCTTTTGATGGAAAAAGATTTAGTAAAGCACAGGCTTTTATAAAAGAGATTGGTGGTGCATCGGTGCTATTTTTACCATGTGCTACATATAATTGGACACCACCAGAGGGTGCTGGCCAGTTTCATGGCATGCCTCTGGATGTTAAGGTATTTAAGCCTTTCATGATTATTTTGGTTGCTAGGTGAGCCTGAAATTCGATTATATTTTTGCTGAAGTTGTTTCACGTATGAATTTATTGTATTTTCATTTAACTGGATACAGGTTGTTCATTTTAAAGGATCAAGGAAACGCCTAATGCTTGAGGCTTGGAACTTTTTCAGTTCTTCTGCTGACATTTCAGATATGTTGTGCCTCATCTTGAAGAGTGGAAGAACAAAATATGACTTTTGAGTAATTTCATTTGGTTTTGCATAGCTAATACATCTTATGATACATTGATGGAGGGGAGTGGTAGGGAAATTACCCATTGTGTCACGCAAGGTTATCCACTTTGGGTGGCACCCGACATCGTTCCTTAGTGGGGGTATGATTTCCCACTTTTTGGTCGAATCTGATATTCCTGAATACATTAGCAGAGGAGCTTACAGAGACTCAAGATCGTGGAAATGCGACTGATTCTTTTGCTGGATATAAAAGACTATATTGACAAGCTTCAATTCCTTTGATGTACACTCTTATACTTTCTCTATTTCGGTTTCCTTTTTCTTGGGGTTCGAAACTTGGAAACATAGGCTGGAATCTGATACTGATTTTGTAAAATTTGCAAATTTTCCTTCTTAACAATTGGAGTACAAATGTACAATTGTAGTGTCGGTTTGGTTCAAGCAGATGTGCCAGCGAAATTTTCTTGCCACCCTGACTGATCAACTTTTTGACTTTGTTTTTCATTTTGCAAATGCCACAATGCAGGTAAAAAGCGATTAATAAGAGTCAATTAACAGGTTTTGCCTAGAAAAACTGTTGAGCATTTCGGGATTACATGAAAATTTTGACAGGTACAGAAATCCTACAATATGCATCCTTGGTATCCTATTTCCTACAATCTTTTTTTTTTTTAGCTTTATTATTTCGTCAGTCACAATTAACGATAATAATGAATCGAATTGAAATAAATTTTTATTTTGATCTAATTTCATAAAATATATATTTGATTTTAATTTGATCAGATATCAAAATATTTTTTTCATACTCAATCTGATACATAAAAAATCATAATAAATCCAGTTTGAAATTAATTTAACATATAAAATATTATTTTTAATATAAATTATTATTAATAATATATAAATATAATATTTTATTAAATTAATATCTTAAATTAAACTATTAAATAATAATTTTATTAATATAATATATAAATATAAAATTAAATAAATAATAAAATATATATATATATATATGTGTGCATATATATTGGACTCGGAAAAGATTTACCTAAAATCTAATTCAGATCTGACTCCAGCTTTAAAAAACCGATATTGATCCGAAACTCAATTAAAAAAACAAGACCAAATGAAAACTCTTTCAAGGGTATAGGTATATTTGTCATCCTAGCCCCGTGCCTTATAAAAATCTAAGATTCGTTCCATCTGATGTGAATACTGGATAGTGAAAAGAATGGTGAAAGTGGAATAGACTTTTGAGAATAATCTCTTTTCAACTGCACAAGCCTCACGAGGATACAACAAAAGCAAAAATTTTTAGACCAACAATTGCTGCCTGGAATTAAACGGACTTCTCCCTATATAAACTTGCGCTTTCCACAAATTCTGGCCATAACAAAATTCACAAGAGAGACGGTTTAATTGGTGGACATGAAGACAGAGCAAATCCAAAATAATTGCTAGCAAACAGAAGAAACAGTTGCCTACTTTAATAACTACCGTAGAGGATAATCCCATATGCTACCAAAAGATCTTCAAAGTCAAAATCATTCTCCATGAACCTCTAGTTTATCTCCTTCAGGTCATTGTCAATGAAAGAACCATTAATAAACTCCAAGTGCACTGTAACTCTAGAAACATTCGAAAGTAGACCAAATCAACTGTGGCAAGTCAAAACCAAACCCACAAGATGCACTAAAAGCTCCTAGATAATAATAAATGAATAACAACTAGTTATTTTAGCTGTGTTGGACCCTGTATTTTATATCTTCCTTTAATAAACAATCCACGTTTATTTTGGCTACATAAATTATGTTCACATCATATGACATGAGATTCTCAATCCTTGAAGACTTACAAAGACACCACTTTCAATGACGAAATATAAATACATAAATGACAATGTCAAAGCCAAAGTAAATTACATCAAAAGATGACATTAAAGCAGATGCTTCTATTGACAACGATCTTTTACTTGTACAAGGACCAGTTCGTTAAGGAATAAAATTCGTCTTAGATTGCCTAGCATTCCACCAATCCACGTTATTTTGGCTACATAAATTATGTTCGCATCATATGACATGAGGTTCTCAGTCCCCGAAGACTTATAAAGACAACACTTTCAATGATGAAATAAAAGTATATAAATTGCAATGTCAAAGCTAAAGTAAATTACATCAAAAGATAAATTTAAAGCAGATGCTTCTATTGACAATGATCTTTTACTTGTACAAGGACCACTTCATTAAAGAATAAAATTAGTCTTACATTGCCTAATATTCCACCAATCCACCAGGCCACATAAATTATGTTTGCATCATATGACATGAGGTTCTCAGTCCCTGAAGACTTATAAAGTCACCACTTTCAATGATGAAATATAAGTATATAAGTATATAAATGACAATGTCAAAGCTAAAGTAAATTACATCAAAATATGACTTTAAAGCAGATGCTTGTATTGACAATGATCTTTTAGTTGTGCAAGGACCAGTTCATTAAGGAATAAAATTCATCTTAGATTGCCTAGTATTCCACTAATCCACGTTATTTTGGCTTCATAAATTTTGTTCACATCATATGACATGAGGTTCTTAGTCCCTGAAGACTTATAAAGACAACACTTTCAATGATGAAATATAAGTATATAGATGACAATGTCAAAGCTAAAGTAAATTACATCAAAAGATAAATTTAAAGCAGATGCTTCTATTGACAATGATCTTTTAGTTGTACAAGGACCAGTTCATTAGGAATAAAATTCGTCTTAGATTGCCTAGTATTCCACTAATCCACGTTATTTTGGCTACATAAATTATGTTCACATCATATGACATGAGGTTCTCAGTCCCTGAAGACTTATAAAGACAAACACTTTCAATGATGAAATATAAGTATATAAATGACAATGTCAAAGCTAAAGTAAATTACATCAAAAGATAAATTTAAAGCAGATGCTTCTATTGACAATGATCTTTTACTTGTACAAGGACCACTTCATTAAAGAATAAAATTAGTCTTACGATTGCCTAATATTCCACCAATCCACCAGGCCACATAAATTATGTTTGCATCATATGACATGAGGTTCTCAGTCCTGAAGACTTATAAAGACACCACTTTCAATGACAAAATATAAGTATATAAGTATATAAATGACAATGTCCAAAGCTGAAGTAAATTACATCAAAATACTGACTTTAAAGCAGATGCTTGTATTGACAATGATCTTTTAGTTGTGCAAGGACCAGTTCATTAAGGAATAAAATTCATCTTAGATTGCCTAGTATTCCACTAATCCACGTTATTTTGGCTTCATAAATTTTGTTCACATCAATATGACATGAGGTTCTCAGTCCCTGAAGACTTATAAAGACAACACTTTCAATGATGAAATATAAGTATATGAATGACAATGTCAAAGCTAAAGCAAATTACATCAAAGATAAATTTAAAGCAGATGCTTCTATTGACAATGATCTTTTAGTTGTACAAGGAGCAGTTCATTAGGAATAAAATTCGTCTTAGATTGCCTAGTATTCCACTAATTGTTAAACTGAATGATTCTAGTATCATGGACCACATTGGATAGCACTTGATAAAGAGTAATAACATAATAGCCATTCCTAAAGTTCAACAGGCCACAGACAATTTATTCAAACCCGAAATAGTAATGTTTTGTCAATTCTTAAACAGTGATTCATATAAACATATTTCAGGAACCATACAATATTCATTAATATCAAGATCATAAAATTGAAAGGAGCAATTCCTCTATGCTAGTGAACAAAAATGCGTAGTACCTCAATAAAAGAGCAAATATCTAGCATTAACTCAAAATGAAAGGAAATAAAAGTGGACCATTGGCTTTTAGGTTTCAAAGTCAAGCAAACTTATTTATCTAAAAGGGAAAAAGAGCACGGCAAGACATCAGCGTCAGCACATTATCTTTACATAAGTACAATAAATTTATGAGGGAAATTATATTCAATACACCAAGCATCTTTTTCTTTTTTTTTTTCTTTTTTTTTTTGGGGGGGGGGGGGTGGTTGGATTCGGCAAATATTAAAAGAAAAATCAATTTTCAAAATGCGACCCAATTTCTCCACAAAGGAAAGAACATATTATCTGTGCTATTTTATTGGAATTGCATAGGAATGATACATGTCTATCAATCAGCATATGCTCTATCAGTCATGAATTCTACAATACCAAAACTACAACAATTACATTCCATGGGACAGAAAAAGGAAAAATTAAAAAAAAAAAAGATTGTTCCGGTGTTCTTTTGACACAGCATGTGCCTGCCCAGCAAACAATGTCCACTGATCACAAAACTTCTTCAAAGTAGGATATGATATACCTCCTTATCATCATTAAAGATATATGAAATAATGATAATCAGGCAACAAACAGAGAAATGTTAAAAACAATGGTAAAAATGATAATGAACAAGAATTCGGAGGATCCTACCACAATACAAAGAATGAATTATCCAGCAGCCTTCTTCCCTCCAGAATAGTAACTGACATACCACCTGACAAATTTCTTTAACCCAGTCTGCAAATCAGTTGAGGGCTTATATCCAAGCTCCCTCTGAGCCAAGCTAATATTGGCATGAGTAAACTGAACATCCCCATTTCTTGGCAACTTCATAATATTCCTCTTTGCATTAACCTTCAAAAGCTTCTCCAAGATACTCACAAGATCTGAAACTGGCACAGGTGAAGTATTCCCCAAATTATATACCCTCAATTGAGCCGGACCCTTCTTCTTCCCTCCACTACCAGTACTCTTCTCGGCAGTATCCAATGCTGCCAAACACCCTTTCACAATATCATCAACGTAGGTAAAATCCCTAGCCACCGTGCCATGATTAGCTGCCTCAAATATTGGTATGGACTTCCCCTTCAAAATATCCCTGGTGAAAAAGAAATATGCCATATCCGGCCTTCCCCACGGGCCATAAACCGTGAAAAACCTCAAACCAGTCAAAGAAAGTCCATATATATGATTATAAGTATGTGCAATCTCTTCACCAGCTTTCTTAGTAGCAGCATATAAACTAGCAGGCTGATCAGTCCTATCTCTCTCCGAGAATGGAACTTTAGTATTAAGCCCGTAAACAGAACTCGAAGAAGCCCACACAATTGCAGGTTGTGGATTAGCTGACTTACAAACATCAAGTAAACTAACAAGACCAGCAATATTGCTATGCACATAAGAGCTAGGATTTTCCATAGCATACCTGACCCCAGCTTGAGCAGCCAAATGCATCACGTGGGTAAATGCAACAACCTCGAAAAGTTTCCTTAAAAGAACTGAATCATTGATATCTCCTTCCACAATGAAAACCCCACTTCGTTCCAGAAGCGCTTGCCGAGCTCTTTTTAATGAAGGGTCATAATAGTCATTGAAATTATCAAGTCCAAGAACTCCATCTCCACGCCTTTTCAAAGCAGCCGACACGTGGGTACCGACGAAACCGGCAGCTCCAGTAACCAAAACGGAGAAGCCGTTGCGGGAACGGATACGTGCAGAGGAACGGACCTGTTTCTCCCAAGCGGGTCCACCCCAGTTGTACGTACGGAGAGAGCGGCGAGATGGATCTTGCAGAAGAGGATTGGAGGAAGGAGATCGAAAGAAGAAGACCACAATCAGGCCCAAGAAGATAAATGACCAAAATGTGAGCTTTGCAAGAGAAAAGTGCCACCTTAGTCTATTGTGAACGTAGGGTGATTTTTCCATCTTGAATTTCCCTGGTGTTGATGGAATGTCGTTAAGATGAGACATTTGTTTTGAAAATTTTGAGGTTATTGGACGACTCAAAATCTGAGTTTGTTAGGATTTGGAGAAATGGGTATTTGTGATTTGTGGATAACTCCGATTTGGCGGCGGTGATGACGGTGAAGGAGCGGCGAAAAGGGATTTTATTTATCGTTGGGTTTTTCAGGGGCTCTTATTCATTACGGTGATGAAAAGGGGAATCTTCCGGTTTCTTGAAAGCTCTTTCAATGGCTCTAGAAAGAAAGATGAGGCATCAAAGATTTGATTTTTGCTTTAAAAAGAGTGAAACTTCACTGGGGAGAAGAGAGAGAAACAGAAGAATTTTGGGAGAGCAAGAAGAGTCAAACAACAGTATTTGATGAAGTGGGTTGATTCTTCTATTGACTTGGTTAAAAATAGGCGAGGTTAAGATTTTCTTGTTCCTGTTTCAGAGAAAAAAGTGCTGCTAATATGAAATCAGCATTTGTCTAATTTTTATCTGTGAGGTTAGAATTTGATCGGCTGTGAGAGCCCTTCGAAATTGGGGCGTCCCCTGTTTTTAAGGATAATTGACGTCTGAAACCCTTAGTCAGAAGAGCCTTATTCAGTTTGGGATTTTGTTGTTGATGGTATTGGTGTGGATGAGGATTTTGAAGCTAATTACAGCTTACTAAAAAAATTAATATATTATTTATAACATTATTATATTAATTATAATAATTAATAATTTTATTCATTAATTTAATGTATTAAATGAAATTATAATTATTTATAATAATGTTAAAAATATTCATTAAACATAGGCTCTAAACCTATCAACCTAAATATTGAATTAAAAACTGAAAATGGGAATTCTTTTGCAAGCATTACCCTGATGCAGAGTTTTTTTTTTTTTTTTTAATAATTTTTTTTTATGTTAATTCAGGTCTCAGTTATTCCCTGGCATCTGCACTAATTAACTAAATTGTCACCAAAAATTTTTTTACTCCAACTGTATGGTACTTTATAGACTAGACAATGGTGCCACTACAATCTACTAGCCTCTTGATAGTTTTATATTATATCGCTGAACAAGTCAGATTGTGAATTTTCATATGCAAGGCATAGGATACTGTCTGAATCTAATAAGAAAAAAAAAAAAAAAGAGTCAGAATTAGTGAGCGCAGGCAGTGCAAACACGCTTGAAATGAAAGGCAAAAGCAACAAACTTTCCATGAAATTTTCTTTCAGATATCTTAGACTGCAATTTTTGTTAAGCTAAGCTATCATCATTTGGATTGTAGATAGCAATCAACATAATGCACAAAGGCTCTTTTTGTGTAATTTACTTCATTTGAAAACTCTTTTTGTGACTCAAAAACAAAGAATTACACCAAAATCTGACCCCAATCTCCCTATACAATGCCCCTCACGTATCATCTTCATCTTCATCCAAGGATTTTCTTTCTAATTGAAACAACCAAAACCCCAGATTTCTTCATACTCTTGGCTGAAAGTCAAGAAATTACTTTAAACAGCCTGCTTTATAATTCACATTCTAATACAAAATCCTGATTTTGCTTAGGTACAAAAACTTTTCATTGTTGATTATCTTTACTTTTTTTATTTTTTTTTACTTTACAAGATGGACTATTGCATGGTGTCTTGATTGTGGAACCTTGGTTACTCAGCAAGATGAGCAATAAATTAATTGTGAGAAAAAAAAATTCTAAAATTAAATTTCCAAGCTGCTTGTCACCCACCCCTTGTGAGGAATTGGTGGAAAGGAAGTTGAAAAAAACGTCCTCGGTTATCTTTTCTTTATGGCTGGCAAAGCGGCAACAATGCAACATGTTCCATGCCTTGCCAGTTAATGTAAGCTGGACTTGGACCACTTAATACTATGGTTTTGTGAGAATTGCATATTTTATTTAAATAATTTATGGAATATGCATATCCCATGATCCATACATTACAGTTATCTCCATCAAAAATATAACATTACTAATAGCCTCTGGAGTCGGCGTCTTCCGCTCATTATTGATGCAATCTAAACTGCCACTGCCGATCCATAGATCCCACCTTGTTTCTTTTCCTAGTTTGCACAACAATGTTTCAATTGAAATTTCTGTTTTCATACAAATGGAAGAACAAATTTAAGTTGCAGGCTCCCTTCCCCACTTTCCCTTCCATTTTCCAAAGAATAACAAGAAAGGAAACAGCAAAAGTGAGAACCGTTTAAATATTAATTGAATAGGCATTGCAAAAAGAATCAATCCTCAATTATGTATTAGTCTTCATGACAAGGATCAAGCACCAAGTCATAACTCACAATAAGTAGAAAACAAGTTAAAGTCGGGGAAGAAACTGATAACAAACTCAACTTGCCGACATGAAACTATCAAAGATTACAAGCTGACTTCAAATACAAGGTTCAACTACTTTCAGTCTGGTTTTAAAGAAAGTGGCATGAACCTATCCCTCATCCTCTTCTTCCTCTCTAGTATAACAAAGTAGAAGAGCCATTCAATGCTTTGTAACCCTCTCGAGAACTTCAAAGTAGTCAGGGAAGGTTTTCTGTGTACAACCAGGATCCTTGATGGTAACTGGAACATCTGCGCAGGCAGCAAGAGAGAATGCCATGGCCATTCGGTGATCATCATAAGTATCAATTGCTGTCACATTTAATTTCTCTGGTGGAGTGATCACACAATAATCTGGTCCTTCTTCAACTGTTGCTCCGAGCTGCAATGTGAAACCAAACAAAATTAAGGAAAACAAAAGCCAAACTAGTATCATCTAGAGGATATTTATAAGCATAAAGCTAGCTAGAATCCACCTTCCTGAGTTCAGTGCATATAGCAATCATCCTTTCAGTCTCTTTCACCCTCCAACTTGCCACTGAAGAGAACCAGGGAAGGGAAGATGTTATTAGATAAAATAATAGTACTTAGGCTATCAATAGTTTTTTAGTTGGAAAGAAATGAAAGAAGTATATTCAAATTTTGTGTACAATGTTCAGTACCAGAAATAAGAACACTTATTGCTCAGAACTACCAATAATCAAAAAGATCACTTTTAATCCAAAGGCATTTTAGGAGTGACGTTTCCCATTAACAGAGATTCTTTTTGTGACCATTTTTCTCCTTTGATGCCATTCATGCATAACAAAACATGTTCATCTTAGAGAAACAAAAGGCCAGATCATACCATCTCTGATGGCAGTGGGACCATCAGCATAAAGGGCAACAACAGCGAGGGTCATGGCAACATCTGGCATTTTGTTCATGTTGACATCGATAGCATGCAAGTTTTTCCTTCCAGATGAATTTCTTGGGGGTCCAATGACAGTGACGCTGTTCTCAGTCCAGGTGACTTTGGCACCCATTTTCTCAAGAACCTCAGCAAATTTTACATCACCCTTGATCAAAAGAAAAACAAAGAAAAACAAGCATGAGTTTATGTTCAGATGCAGCACATCCTAGGTAGTATGATAACTCTAGTGGAAAAACAATTTGCAATAATCAATGAAAAGGAATCCAGGATCAGCCTTAAAGACAGCCCAAACAGTTCAACAACACTTTTGAAAGGCAGAAAGTAATGTTGTAAGAAATCCAAGGCAAATACTTCCACTCACACTGGAAACATATGATATAATTTAATTTGGTAGGGAACTTAACAACATTAATGGACTTCACAACAAAAAGTACCTGTAAACTACTTGTACCGCATCCTTCTACAGTGACAGTCCCACCAGTGACTGCTGCACCAGCAAGGAAGTAACTAGCACTTGAAGCATCACCTTCAACATAAGCATTTCCAGGAGACCTGAAAGATTTATCAATTTATGACTTTAAGTAGAAACAGAATATGGAATTGTACAGCTATTTACATGGGTGCACGTCATAGAAACCTACTTGTACTTTTGACTTCCCTGGATATAGAACCGATCCCAGCTATCAGTGTGCTCCACAGTGACCCCAAACCTTTCCATCAATTTTATAGTCATTTCAACATATGGGATTGAAATCAATTTATCAATTATCTCAATTTCTACATCCCCAAGAGCCAAAGGAGCTGCCATGAGTAAAGCAGTCAAGTATTGACTACTGATTGATCCAGAGAGTTTCACCTGGAAAAGGATCCACACCAGATGTATATCATGAATATTGGAATTGGGCAAAAACACCAGAAGTTAAGTCAGATAGTCTTTTTCCTTTTTATTTTGGTCAAAATATAGTCTTTTCTTTTACACAACCTAGAAGTTAACATAAGCAAAAGAAGACAACGCTTAGACCTTACAAATAGTCCAAAGTCTCAGACATAATATAATGAATGTGATTAATTTGCTGAAATGAATAGTTAGGCAGATAGGAAAATCTACTTTCCCTCTCCTTTTGCATTTTCAAGAATTTAAGATCAAGGGTTCCTTTACCAAAAATGGCCCAAGGAAGATATGTGCCACATCAATGATTAATACTAACTAGTTAACAAGTTGATCATTCCCATGTATACCCAAAAAGCAACATTCAAGTAACACCTGGCAAGCAAGTAATAGACATAGAAAAATCCAAAAAATGAAAAGAGAATCCACGTAAAAGTTTATCCAAACTGCCATAACTTGTATTTCAACAGACAGCATTACAAACTAATTCTCATCCATACATCAATAGAAGGTTAAAATATTGACTTTCATGAGCATGACAATTGAAAGTTTAACTGAAGGTAATATTTATTGGGCAATAACATGGAATGGAAGCTCATTTCTAGTGGTAGCTTATGTGGCTCCCCATATCTACCTTAGAAAAGCAATTTCTAATGAGGTTCCAGGATGACCTTCATAAAAGCAGTTTATCCAATGATATGAAACCACAGTAACATAACAAATTGATTTGAGACATACCTTTCCCCCAGGAAGACCACCCTTTCCATTTATAAGAACAGGGGGACAATTTGTGCCAAGAGTACAATTAACATCTGCACCCAGCTGCTTAAGACCAGTAACTAAGTCCCCAATAGGTCTCTCTCTCATTCGTGGTATGCCATCAAGTATGTAGCTAAAGAGACATGTAACATATATGCATTAGCTCAAAAAATTGATAGTAATACACAAAACAAAAAGCATCAGCATATAAGCAGATAGTTCCATGAAAATGCAACATTTTGTTTACTCAACTAATAGGTCCTTTTCAACAGTTGGATTCCTCATATAGGAAACCAGCTACTGTGAAATGATTAAATGTTTACATTTCCAAATTATATCTTTGTTAAAATGAAAATAATTGGACAGACCTTGAATTGCCACCCGCAGCTGTGACAGCAGCAGTAAGAGGTCGCATCGCAGTTCCAGCATTCCCAAGGAAAAGCTCAATTTCTTGACCTTCCCCTTTCCCTACTGGAAATTGACCACCGCAACCTTCCACAATGGCTCGTTTTTTTTCACTGTCATGTTCCACATATAGCCCAAGTTTTCCCAAAGCAACAAGCATGTGATGAACATCATCACTATTCAACAAATTGTCTACCACAGTAGTTCCCTACATATCGAAAAAACATTAAAACATAAACTAATTAAAGAATATAAATACTATGAAATCAACATACCTCAGATAGAGCAGCGAGAAGCAGAATCCGATTGGATAATGATTTGGACCCGGGTAACTTAACCGTACCCGATATTTCATTGATTGGTTGAAGCACGATTTCTGATGCTCTGGATGGCTTATCTGTTACTGTTGAAGCCGAAACCTTCAACGATCCAACCTTAATTGTTCCCAACCTGCCATAGCTCTTCACAACTAAACCCAAAGAACTTGAAAAACCTCCTTCAAGATTTGATCTGAATAAAACTGAAGGAACAGATTTGGGCTTCTGGGGTTTTGAGACATTGGGCACAAGACATATATTTTGTGTTCCATTGTAGATTTTGCTAACCTGTGCCATTTCTATGAGACAAAGATTAGAGGAAATTTCGTACCTTTGTTTCGGTTAATTGAGAGTGGAATTCTGGGATCAAAATAAAAAAAACTTGTTTTTGATGTCTGGTGGTGGTAGGTGTTGGATACAATGATTGACTTCAGTGGAAGGCTTCACCAACCAAACTCCAAGCAAGGCAACCAGAAAAAAGAAGGTGAATTTCCAAACGCCAAATCGGGGGTTGGTGGGAATTGAAAATCGCGTTTCTCTTCTGGTTCTCTGGCCTCACCAAACCCGATTGTCTAATGGGGTCCACGGCAAAAATTAACGGGTTGCCACGTCATCTCTGGAAAATTTTTTGAGTTTTTCTTGGGGCCCGGAGATTTGCTTACTTATAGTAGTACTTATTAGTTTTACTTTAGGCCCTTCATTGATGAGCCCAAATTTGGGAAGCGTCAAATCTCAGTTTCGTTAACATGAGATGGGAATGGTCGAAATGGCATCCAATTATGAGTTCCAATTTCCAAACCGAAGCCCTAGTTTTCTTAAATCTCCGTTCTATTTTTATTTTTCAATTGTTATTTAGGATTAAGTTTTTGTTTGGTAGAAAAATGAAAAAGGATAAAAATTAATAATTTATTAATTCAATGATTAAATTATAAAATATTTTTTATTTATTCTTCTGTTTACTTAAATATTACAAAAAAAATCAAATACAAAAATTTATCAACTTATATTTTTAAAACTTAAAAAATAACATACGTTAAGACATTTAAAAATATATATATGATCTTAAATATAAATTATACCAATAATTTTTAAATCTATTTAATAAACTTTAATAACGCGATAATACGTGTGAACAATTAATATTTATGAATCTTAAGTTGATATATAATAGGAATTTTTTATGCATTATTTGAATTTTAAAATTTTAGACTAAAATAATATAGAACCTTTGGTTAATGATCATACTAAATGTGGATTTTATTTTTAATAAATAATTTTTTATTAATGTAAAAAGAATTAGTGGATGGAAGTGACTGTTGAAAGAGAGTGAATAAAAAAGTGAAAAGAATATAATTTTCATTATTATTTGATAAAAGAAAAAAGTTAAGAGGAAAAAAAAATATAAGAGAAGATTGTTTTTCATCTTTGCGCACCAAAATAAATCATTTTAAATTAAAAATATTAGAAGAAAAATAATATATTATGATAAGAGGAAATGTTGCCACGTACCATAAGTGAAATTTTACCATAGTGCTTCTTTGCCTATATAATTTATCTAATACACAACTCATCCAATAAATTTAGGTCTAGTTCAATATTACTGTCGAAAATAATTTATCTTCAAAAACTGCTTTGATCTAATCTCATTGCTCCAACACTACAAAATATATATAGTTTTTACCGTTAAAAATTTTGATTTTGCTACCCAAACTAAAACATCATCAAGGGTTGTTTTTGCGATTGAAAAAAAAACGTATTTTGAATAAAAAAAATCAATTATCCATATATTTTTATATTTTGGTTATTTTGATAAATATAATTTTAAACATAAATTATTGACATATTAGTATTTTTTCATATTATACCCAAAACATTTTTCGATCACATTTCTTATTACACTTTCTCAAAAACATTTTTTTCCACCCAAACCCTTTAACATATGTTTTCTTACTCCTTTTAATACATTTTTTTTTCCATCTAAAATTTTTCAGACCACGCCTATTACACATGCTTAAACTACCCTAACATCCTTTCCCACACTGTCTCCACAACTTTTACTAAATTCTTTTCTTCACATTTCACCGGTTACAAATCAATTATGATTGACTTATTCCACACTAATATCATGGTTTTAAATAAATTTGTTTCAGATACAAATATTGGTTTGATACTCCATGTCTCGATATTCCAAGTGAGAAATTATCAAAAAAAAAAAGAAATCCAAGTGAAAAGGACATAAATATTCAGTCCAAAAAAAGTAATACATATAACTACAGGCATGCATACTATGTACGAATTTAAAGCATGAAACAGAGACTCCTTAAAATTCAAAGATTCAGGTAAGAGCACTAACATCCCATCTCCCCTCGACCAGCCCTTTCCCGTCGACCAGCTCTAGGATAAATGCCCAGAGCCCTTGAGTTTTCCCTAGGAATAAAAACAGCATCAGACTTAGGTGTGCTGGGTGTATCTTCATCATCACTGAAAAATGATCCTAAAGATATCGATTAACAAATGAAATAAACACGTAAGAACTGTAATCTTATATGGTGAGGAATGTAATAATATTTTATATCAGCGGATTAGAGTTGCTCTTTCATGAGTGGTAGGACCCTCACCTAAATATTATTTCCTTGAAGGCAACTTAATCCGCCTCTGTGAAATGTATCGAGAAGTTTAGCATTGTAATTGGCGTATTGAGAAGCAAATATCTGAATCCTATCAGCAATTAAATTGGATATCTAGTCCACTTTTCAATCAATCATACACCACAGGGCTCAACAGTAGACAATTATTTTGAACTCTCAGTTCAATAAAAGAAGGAAGAAATGCAGATAATTCTGCAACCCTAAAACAGAATGATGAAAATGTACAGAAATAAAGCGCTTAGATCAAATTGAAGACTAAGCAACAAACATTATAACTTACAGTTGTGCCGAAGGCAGCTGGGTTACTAGAAGGAGCCAAGGATAGAGAACTCGAAAACATATTCCCAATAAATCCAGTGGAAGGCGTGTTGAAAATGCTTGTTTGACCAAAGTTACTAGTATTCTGTCCAAAGGTAGAGGTCATCCACCCAAAAGCTTTGCTTGTCTACCCAATTGCAGGGGTAGAATTGAACCAGTAGCAAATGCTAAAATTTAAACCAGTAGCAAATGCTGGAGTTGTTGCAGGAGCTGCGCCAGCACCAAAAATGGACGGTGAAGTTGAAAATGAGGGAGTGACAGACAGACTAAAGGGAGATGAACCAGTTCCAAACGTAGGAGTGGAAGAAGAACCAAATATTGAAGATGTTGATGACAAAGTTGGGCCAAAAAGGCTTGATGATGTCCATTGAAAAGGATTTGATATAGCAGTCAAGGTTGTAAAACCTGTACTATTAAAGGATGGAGGTTTTAGACTAAATGGAGTGGTAATTGTGCGGGAAAAAGGATTTGAAGATGTTTGACCAAATGTTGAAGAACAACCAAAAGGACTTGTAGGTGCAGTTGACACACCAAAGCCAATCACTCCAGAAGGCTAGGCAGGTGGCTGCCGTCCACCTGAAATTTCAAATTGATATAGCAAGGTAGGGAATGTCAAACACAGAAAAGAAGAATGATTAACTTTCAGGGTTGTACAATATTTTACAAAGGTACCTTTATCTCCTAACTGATAATCCTTCCATCTCAGCTCCTCATGACTTTTATCTTTGTAAACAGGCATCGCTGATATTGACTCCAACTTTGCAGCTGACTCTGTACCACTCGAACTATCTGCTTTAGTTGTAGGTGTCTAAGGAGCTACTCTACTTCCCCCATGTTGATCCCCAAAAGGTGACTGGCCAAAGCTAGTGCTTCCAAATGCCAGTACAGAAGATTGGGTTCCTACAAGAGAACTCAAAAGAATTTAATTATTTATATATGATATGAACTTGCACTCAAAAGGAACCACATATTGAAGATGTTGATGCCGAAGTTAGGATAAAAAGGCTTGATGATGTCCATTGAAAAGGATTTGATATAGCAGTCGAGGTTGTAAAACCTGTAAAGGATGGAGGTTTTAGACTAAATGGGTTGGTACTTGTGCCGGAAAAAGGATTTGAAGATGTTTGACCAAATGTTGAAGAAGAACCAAAAGGACTTTTAGGTGCAGTTGACACACCAAAGCCAATCCCTCCAGAAGGATGAGCAGCTGGCTGTGGTCCACCTGAATTTCAAATTAATATAGCAAGGTAGGGAATGTCAAACACAGAAGAAGAATGATTAACTTTCAGGGTTGTACAATATTTTACAAAGGTACCTTTATCTCCTAACTGATAATCCTCCCATCTCAGCTCCTCATGACTTTTATCTTTGTAAACAGGCATCGCTAATATTGACTCCAACTTTTCAGCTGACTCTGTACCACTCGAACTATCTGCTTCAGTTTTAGGTGTATATGGAGCTACTCTACTTCCCCCACGTTGACCCCTAAAAGTTGACTGGCCAAAGCTAGTGCTCCCAAATGCCAGTACAGAATATTGGGTTCCTGCATGTATATGATATGAACTTGTACTCAAAAGGAACCAAATATTGAAGATGTTGATGACGAAGTTGGGCCAAAAAGGCTTGATGATGTCCATCGAAAAGGATTTGATATAGCAGTCGAAGTTGTACAACCTGTACTCTCAAAGGATGGAGGTTTTAGACTAAATGGATTGGTACTTTTGCTGGAAAAAGGATTTGACAATGTTTGACCAAATGTTGAAGAACAACCAAAAGGACTTGTAGGTGCAGTTGACACACCAAAGCCAATCCATCCAGAAGGCTGAGCAGCTGGCTGCAGTCCAACTGAAATTTCAAATTAATATAGCAAGGTAGGGAATGTCAAACACAGAAAAGAAGAATGATTAACTTTCAGGGTTGTACAATATTGTACAAACATACCTTTATCTCCTAACTGATAATCCTCCCATCTCAGCCCCTCATGACTTTTACCTTTGTAAACAGGCATAGCTGATATTGACTTCAACTTTGCAGCTGGCTCTGCACCACTCGAACTATCTGCTTCAGTCGTAGGTGTATAAGGAGCTACTCTACTTTCCCCATGTTGACCCCCAAAAGTGACTGGCTAAAGCTGGTGCTTCCAAATGCCGGTACAGAAGATTGGGTTCCTACATGAGAACTCAAAAGAATTTAATTATATATATATATATATGATAGTGAGTACTCAAAATGTGGAAGACCTACGAAAATAAATATTTGTGCCTAAACTTCATAAGTAATTTCAAAGTTTATATAATTAATCATGTAGACTTGATTACTCACCAAGAGGAGAACCCCGGGCTCCAAATGAAGTTGTTCTAAAAGGACTACTACTAAATGCCTGTGTTGATTGGCCAAAAGCTGGGCTAGACCCAAAGCTGAATGAAGGACTGGAAGATGCTCCAAGAGCAGGAGTGCTTGAACCCCCAAAAACAGAACTTGAAGCCCCAAAAGCAGGAGTGCTGGCAGTCCCAAAAGCGGGTGTGCTTGATGGCCCAAATGCACCTCCAGTTCCAAAGACTGGGGCATTAGAAACGCCAAATGCAGTTCCAGTGCTCCCAAATGCTGGACTTCCAGTTGAACCAAAGGGAGGAGTGATCGTAGCACCAAATGAAGGGGTGCTCGTGGCACCAAATGCAGGGGGTGCTTGTAGCACCAAAGACAGGGGTGCTTGTGGCACAGAAAGCTGGGGTGCTTGTGGCACTGAAAGCTGGGGTACTGGAACCAAATGCAGACTGAGTTGAACCAAAAGGTGTGG